TGCTTCTCTGAAGACATTTTCAGAGTCTAGCTGCTTCTCTGGGATGCGGCTTCTCTTGTATCACAGGAGTCTAGCTGCTCTCATCATGGCTTCTCTAGGGGTGTTCACAACCAGAGTCTAGTCGCTTCTCTGAAGACATTTTCAGAGTCTAGCTGCTTCTCTCAATACCCCCGGAGTCTAGCTTATTCAAAAAATAGTAGCATAAATATATGGTAGTAAAATTGTTGGAGTGAGTAGCCCCTGATGCGCCCTCTGTAATAGGGTTAAGGATGTATGCTATCTTTCACAATATACCCGTGATTTGTGTTAGAGTTAAGGACATATGCTATACCAGGTACACATTATACATGTACCCGTGATTTGTGTACCCCTAACCAGATCACGGGCACATGTATAATGTGTACCTGGTATAGCATATGTCCTTAATAATTTGTGTTAGAGTTAAGGTTATATGCTACCTTACACATTATTCATGTGTCCGTAATTTGTGCTAGAGTTAAGGATATGTGCTATTTTAAACATTATTATACTGGTGATTTGTATAAAAGTTAAAGGTATATACTACCTTACACCATTATGTATGTGAGTTGAGGACACATTCTTCCTTTTTACGCAATTCAAGTGGTTTGTCTCCCTTTAAAGTATTTAATGATGGTTCTTATTATTATTTAATACTTATTCATTAATCTTTCAGTGTAAATAATGCATGTATTCGTGTGTGTACCTTTCAGATGTTTCACCAATCAAATTATGATATCAAAATGACCATTCATGTCTCATTGGCGGATCTGTTCAAGAAAGGAGATCATTTCACTGTAAAGTAGCGTACATTCTTACGTATGTACCATAAGTCTTCATGTCACACTATAGTAGCATAGTACTGTTACAGTAACTAAAATATAGCATATATCCTTCAGTCTCCGTGTCACAGTAAGGTAGCATACATCCTTAAGCATAAACCTTAAGTATCCGTGTCACAATAAGATAACATACATTCTTAAGTCTCCATGTCACAGTAAGATGCATATATCATTAAGTCTCCGCGTCACAGTAAGGTAGCATACACCCTTAAGCATAAACCTTAAGTATCCGTGTCATAATAAGATAACATACATTCTTAAGTCTCCATGTCACAGTAAGGGAACATACATCATTAAGTCTCCGTGTCACAGTAAGGTAGTATACATCCTTAAGTCTCCATGTCACAGTAAGATGCATACATCATTAAGTCTCCGTGTCACAGTAAGGTAGTATATATCCTTAAGTCTCCATGTCACAGTAAGGTATCATACTTCCTTAAGTCTCCGTGTCACAGTAAGGTAGCATACATCATTAAGTCTCCGTGTCACAGTATGGTAGCATACATCCTTAAAGTCTCCATGCCACAGTAAAGTAGGATACATCCTTAAGCATAAACCTTAAGTCTCCATGTCACAGTAAGGTAGCATACATCCTTAAAGTCTCCATGCCACAGTAAAGTAGTATACATCCTTAAGCATAAACCTTAAGTATCCGTGTCACAATAAGATAACATACATCCTTAAGTCTCCATGTCACAGTAAGATGCATATATCATTAAGTCTCCGTGTCACAGTAAGGTAGTATATATCCTTAAGTCTCCATGTCACAGTAAGGTAGCATACATCATTAAGTCTCCGTGTCACAGTAAGGTAGCATACACCCTTAAGTCTCCGTGTCACAGTAAGGTAGCATACATCCTTAATTCCAAATGTCACAGTAAGGTAGTATACATCCTTAAGTCTCCATGTCACAGTAAGGTACCTTTGTAGCATATACCCTTCAGTCTCTGTGTTACAGTAACTGAAAGGTAGCATACACCCTTAAGCCTTCATGTCACAGTACGGTCGTATATATGTCCCGTGTCCAGTGAACAATAGATATACAATAGTTTGTAAAATCAGGACAAGTCAATTAATAGCATAACAATTCGCCATTTGTGAAAATCAAGTTACTTATTCCTTATATTTATTTATACATTTTTACTTCTCTTTGCTCTTCAAAATTTACTCGTATTTCTCAGTTATCCATTGAAAAGAAACTCATTGTCCATCAGATGATTTAGATTTAGAAGTATAAGATTTTCTCTTAATCTGACAAATGAAATGGATTATCATTATTATAAGGGGAGGGGGTTTATCATTAATTTTCGATCATGGACCCCCTACCACTTGAAGAAAGGCTAGTTAAGCCTTTTTCTCGTCTTGTTTTAGGATCAGTGGACATTCAAACTTAATTAACACCTTGTCGTGTTAAAACAAAAAATACTCAATTTCATAACAAACAAACAAACAAACATATGTTTTCTTTAAATATAAATAAAGGGAAACTGGTAATACGCGGCCGTGTCAATTAGGACAACAAACGCAACGATCGAACAACATGGTTGGTTGCCCCCAATAAAACCCATACATTTTACAAAGCTGTGACGTCAGTAAGAGCCACAATCCGAAACAACAGCATTTAATGAAGGTAGTACTCACAACACCACCATTGTTTGGGAAACTATGAGGGGGTACGGTGTTTCCGGAGTATGGAGGTACGGCCGACTTGAATTTCGTCCTTTCGATTCGTGTCGGACTTTTTTTACACTCAGGTGATTTAGAAATTATTTGATTTGATGAATCATTTAAGTGCGGTGCTGTGCATGTAATGCACATGTGTACACTTCGGGCCGATAACAGACGGACGGATTAAAGACTGCGGTAAGTTTAACTGTTTTTAAGTTTAACTGTATTACAGGAATATATCCTTATACTTATAGGTTTTCGTTTGGTTTGTTAGTCTTTTATTAACAGCTATGGTCATTTAAGGACGTGCCAGGTTTCTGTGGTGGAGGAAAGTCGGAGTTCCCAGAGGAAAACCATCGACCTATGGCCAGTACCTGGCGACCGTCCCACGTACGCCTCGAACCCATGACCAAGTGGTGGAGGGCTAGTGGTAGCAGAATGTCAGACGCCTTACCACTTGTCCCTCGCGGCCCCCAAAGGGGGGCGGCCTTTTAGGTAGCAGAGGTAGAGGGTTAAGACTCGAGACTCACCCAGCCCAAAATGTCGCACCATCAGATATGCTGTTCTCCGATGAATCTAATACGAATCCATTTATAGCTTAGTGTATTTCATACTCTTAATTTAACTTTAGGCATGCGCAAAGCCGCCTCCTATACACCCGTGTAATTAGAAAACCTGTCCAATCTCACCGAAATGATTGGCCACCGTAAAGTTCAGTTTAGAGAGGTTTCTCTGTAAGTACACTGGGAAACACCGCGGTTAAACCGGTTGGACTAGTGTGAGTGTTGCGTTCAAACGAGGGTTGCGTATTTTGTGATCTTTTGGGGTGGGGGATTTATTGAAAATATTAAACATTCGCGTCTGTTTGATATTTCAGTCTGAAATTTAATAACAGTCAACGTGCACCAAACTATACCTTTATATTTGGCAATTGTAGCTGAAATGTCTTTACAAACCAAACCATGTCAACAAATACATTCATACAGATTTAAAATATTTGCTCTCCAAATTATAAACAGCGTCGTTTCGTTTGTTTAATTAAAGTTGAATTTCTTACATTTCAAAGTGAATTTGGAAGTTAGATTGTGTTAAATATACAACTCCTGTGTAAAGAAACGATACGCCGATATCGGGGGAATTGAATTGTCCGGGACCATATCAGTACTATATCAATGTACACCGCACAGTCGGACTGGCATTTGGGCGTCAGTATTTGCATTGGAAGGTTAAAACGACAAGCACATTGGTTCGCACTTTGTAGGAAAGAAAGGAAACCCTCGAGATATTACAGGTATATTTTATTCGAAATTTAAACTTTTAATTTTAAGAAATTGTGTCTTTGAAAAATTGTAGCTTATATCTCTTTGCAGGTGAATATTTTATACTAAATGAACGTAGGCTAAACTACTAAAAGAGCGTGGTTATTGCAAAAATACATGTACCTTTTTCATTTATTATTTAGTGATTTTTTTTCTAAAATCATCATATAATAATGGATTGTTTTGATATTCCAAAAACGGTATCAAATTTATTTAATCATTACGTTGCTAGACACATATTCAAGAAAATTACAACAGTCATTAAGTTAGTTAAGAATCAAGTGTCATTAAATGGAGAAATAAAAATGAAATTTACAACATCTTCAATAGAATTCATCAGTTACGTATCAAACGTGTCGCAACGTTTGAACACCGACTGGTCACTTTGTCAAGCTTCGACCGACTGGTCACTTTTGTCAAGCTACAATTCACCAGTCGGTCTTCAAATGTTGCGACACGTTTAATACGTACACTATTTGTGTATAAAGTAAAACTTTGTATGAAATATATACAACAGTTGCGATTCACACAAAAACGCTGCATGAAATTGATGGATGTAATCGAAACATTCTTTCAAATTCTAAGAACTGATACACGAAATAAAAATACGCATTTGACCAAAACTTTTGGACTGAATAGCTATAGGCTGTTGTCATTCTGCTAATTTAGCTCATTAAGCTAACTGCAAAAAATCATTAATTGTTTCATAAATATATGACGGTACTTTGATCACATTTATGTTATGCATGATATTTTCGTATTTAGTGTTCATTGGACCAAGGTGATAGCTATGACAAATGAGTTTGACACCAAAAACATATGATGAGATCGTATTAACATCTCATATTTGTATCACATCTGTTCTCGCGTATCCTCTGACCGCCGTCATTTAATGCGTGAATGCCGAACTTCCGTCTATATCAGACGCTTGAATACACTTTTAAAATTATTTAACAGTCTGTATTATCCGAAAACCTGGCTAAAGCGAATCTATAGTTTCCGAAAACATTGCTATATAACGAATGTGTATTATTAAAAAAAAATGGCTTTAACAAATGTATATTATCCGCGAAACTTGTTATAACGAATCTGTATCATCCGGAAATTTGGTTAAAACAAACTTGTATTATCCGAAAACTTGGCTATAACGGATCTGTGTTATCCTGAAGCTTTACCATAACGAATCTGTCACAGGGATCTAAGAATTTGTAACATGCTTGAACCTAAATGAATATGTTTAGGGTGTTTAAGACGTTTTAGCGGTTTAGATCAACACTCGGTAAAACCCCCAATAATCCTATCTAAATCATATGTTTTTAAGGGGAGGGGCATTTTTCACCGAGGGTTGATCTTACCCTCTAAAACGTATAATATTACTCTGGACAGATCCGTTTAATAGTCCAAACATACCAACTTAAAAAAAGTGTGAAGTCCCTGTGATTTGTATTCCATTTAAACATCTTTGCATTATAAATAATATTTAAACTTCATTTGAAAACGTTTCTATTTTATCCATATATATATATCTGACCCTTAAGCAATCTGGCTCTACATGGGTACTGAATATTAAATTGGAGTGGTATAAATCGATATGTGTCTTGTCAAATCGGGAACCATGGCACTTTCCGTAAACGTGTATTTCTCGTTTACGGAAAGTGCCGATGGTTCCCGCTTGTGTTATAGTCATTTCATTAGTCCGGATGCCTTTGTTCACGGAATTAAGTTCTTTATAACGAAAAAAAACCGGATTACATTCCGAAACTCATGGGCGGACCTTTCTAGTGTTTAGGTGCGCCCTACGTATACACAGGGCTTTCGGTCCTGGCTACGTTCTTTATGACAGCGCGCCAAAATAAACACAACCAAACAAAAATACAGATATGATTTGAATTAAAGTTTACAAAAATTGAGATTAAACCGCTTCACATTGATTTTATAAAATATTTAAAAATAAATCCTATACTATGACTTGTTTTTATGTATGAGCTCATTCGTTTACGTAACAGATATTTATTTTACCGCTACGTATGGCACACACGCCCAAAATCAATTCTTTATATAAAATGTCAACAACCGTAATCTTTTGTCATGACTCGAGAGAGTGAAAGTCACCATTTGAAGTCGAAAACAAACAACAATTCATCAAAGCTTATCTGTAAAATTTCTCACAAATTGCGTGACACTCGAGATTTATTTCTTCACTATACTTAAACAGTGTAATGTTTTACGTGTTTCAACATACCATGCATTGTGATATACTATATAGAGTCAATTATCAAGTTTAAAGAAACAAATAAATCCCTGTTTGAAAGTAACTCCTGATTGATTAATTTAATTTTAATAGTTATCAAGATAAAAACAATCTATAAGTGTGCAAGATAATTCGTTAAATGATGTGTTATGACACGAATAGTCAAACAGCAAGCTCTTCATATATTTAAATTATGTACCGATTTGTTTGTTTGTTTGTTTGTTTGGGTTTTAACGTCATCGTAACAGACAGGGTGAAATGAGGACGGGGAATTATAGTTTTGAGTCAAGAGAACTCGCGATTGAGAAGTCTTTGTCGGTATATTTAGAATTTGTCTCAAAATCCGTTTGAAGATAACTACATTCACAAATACACATATATATGGTAATTAAAAGTCACAAACATCAAGTTGTTTTTATTATTAAGAAATCAAACATAATGTACGTTAATTAAGGATTAACTTGAATATATTTTTCATGTTATGGAGATATAACACAAAAAAACGGAGTGTACTCTAAATAAGCGGTTTATGATGAGAGTACACTACGGTTTTTTGTGTTATAGTTCAATAACGTGAAAAATATATTTAAGTTAATCCTTATAATATAATCAACTATACACAATCCCTGTGGAAATCCACTTTTATTGATGGACTCTTTTCTCTTAGAAATTATTGCGCTGCTGTATCCTCCAATCAAAAGCGACGTTACAAACGGCGACGTCATTTTTGATGTTATGGGCTGATAACATATATTTTTAAGCCAATGAAAATGCTTGTTACAAGCAAGATTAAATTATTATCAAATAACTATTTTTTTCATTCAAGTTGACCTTGGGAAATCATGAGGTCAAGGTCAATGTCATATAATTGAGTGTACTTGGGTTTGGTAGTTCATCATGGCATTATTATATCATGAAGCTTTTGAAAATCAGTTAAGTCGGTAGTACAATGTATATGAATGTTTAGTATTGACCCTTTGATATTTAAATTATATTTCAAAATGCAATTCCTCATTGCGTCTTATTGACACGTAAACATCGATGCTCTATCTTAGAGCGCATTCAGTTAATGTGAGTTAGCAACACAAACGCCATATCTATAAATGATTGAATCGATTAACTAGCCGATTCATTGATCGATCGACTGATAAGTATCGATTTATCAAGGGTGGTCTAGTGGCGCAGTGGTTAGCGTACTCGTCTGTCACTACGACGGCTGGGGTTCCATTTCCGGACGTTAAAGGTATCGGGTCACGTGGGTTTCCTCCGGGTACTCTGGTTCCTTCTATATGTGAGCTTCTGTTCGAGTCAAAGTTGAAATATCCAAAAACTTGAAGAAAGTGTTGTAATTTTCGTAACGAAACAAGTGTAAGCATATTTGTTTTTAAATGACCAGGATGATAATATAATAAAAAAACACCATTTTTTGTACTAAGATGGGTCCCGTCGTAAATGGCTGCCGTAAATGACACGTTTTAGTCGTACAGCTTTAACAGACACTTTATTTATAGGACTTTCTGAATTAACATTTGATAGTGGCTCTCGACTGGACGAACTATCTTTTGACGCTGTCTAAAGGCTTTTCCCCACATTATTGCCAGGAATTTTGCCATTTATACAGCATAACATATTAAACAAAGAGGCCTATCTAAACTCGAAACCTTGTAAAACATCACATATCGTACACTTATAGGTAAATCGCGTCTATATTACTCCAGAAGTAGTCTATTCCGAAAGAGAAAAACATATCTCGCACCTCAGACAGAGGTATCCCACGTCATACGCCTCGGTTGGGATTATGTTACAGAATATTAGCCCTCGACTGAGATTATCCGAATTGCTCAGTAACAGGTACATGTAATATATTCTGTTTCCAGAGAGGGTCGGTTGAGACAAGTGTCGCTCTATAATATGTACACGTCATTTTAGGAATGAATGAATAAATATTTATTTAAGTGACATGCATTCTTTATCGCATTAAAATTGTCATTAAACTACTTCGGTATATTAAACTAAAAGACACGTCCAGACAATTATGACATATGAGACACTCCCTTTAAAACATTTACATATATCTATTTGCCATTTTTTATAAAAATAACAACTGGACCTATTACAGAACAGCTGCGATCTATATTGATCAACTGTATCCGCCCGCAGTAGAACCAGACTGGCCCCCACCTGTACTCATATGTCAATTATATGTACCCGGGTGATCGGATGGCGCAGTGAATAACACACTCGTCTTTCACCAAGGCGACCGGGGTTCGATTTCCCGATCGGACGTGAAAGGTATTTGGGTCACCTGCCCGATCACATGGGTTTTCTCCTGGTACTCCGGTTTCCTCCCACAATAAGAACCCTCGGGCGCTTACATCCGTGCCAACAAGAGTGGTTAAAATATAAGTTGAGATAACTGTTTTCATAATTGTTGTAAAATAAATAAAGAATAAAGGTGTCTATGTACCCAGGATACTCGGTAAAGATACTAGGAAATAGAACTGTAGTCTTTACAGCGACAAAATTTGTAAATTTAAAGTGTTTTTTTTTAAGAATTCGCAACATAGCGACGAAGGCGTCATACTGAAATCGATGAGGGTATATGTCAAATGTTCACAAATTAACATATATTCCAAAAGGAATAACAAAAAAAAATGAAGAAAACCTGAATGCACTAGGCTACCCAACGTTTTCCATTCAAACTGTCAGGCGTTCTGTTTACTTAAGGCATTGCTATTTAAGATAGTAATACCCTGTTGACGATTTTCTGACGACACTGTTTTATCCTTCTGACATGAGAAACAGATACAAGTTTATGTATGTCTTGGTATCAAATACCGTATTTCTAAAACAAAAAACACCACGTTGTCCATCACAAGAAGGACAGTGGTAAGGGATTTCAATGACAAAATAGATAGTGTGAATTATCCGTCTTGTGGCTCTTAACACAGGGACCTGAGAATTTGTTACAGCTATATTTGGACCTAAACTAAGGTGTTCAGAGTCATTTTACATGTTATTAGGGGTTTAGATCGGCTTTCGGTAAAAAAAATGATCATACGGGGTGTAATTTTTACCGAAAAAAGTGTTTTTTTCAACTTACTAAGGTGTTCAGAATCATTGGGGGTGTCATTTTTACCTAAAGTCGATCTTAACCCCTAAAACATGTAAAATTACTCTGAACACCTTAGTTTAGGTCCAAATATAGCTGTAAGAAATCATCATGCAGGTCCCTGTCGCTCTGAAGTGTCGACTGATATCGACCAAACTTGAGTACAAATTGATAGCTGTTATCGTATTATCTCGCTTGCTTCTCAGTTTCTTTTTCTTTCTTCCTTCCATTCCATTCTTCTTTAATTGTTCATGTAGATATTTTTGATAAATATATTTATTGGTGTTGTCATGTATCTAAAGGATGATACTTGTGGTTTTAACATTGTTTTTAATTTTGCAGGTCAACTTACCTTTCTTTGGAAACCACGTAACTTCAACTAATGCACAAGCGATCCAGATGCTGCGTCAGTGAGGAAAAACGGAATTGATCTTTCAGCAGACGACCTTTTGTAGATCTGTTTGCCAATGTCTTGAAGTAATTTCAGCTTTAACTCTGTTCATTTGCCTAAGTGTCGTGTGTAATGATGCCCGCGCAGAAGAAAATGCGACCCCCAAAGCACCTGGAGAAGATGCTGTTTATCAATCACAAAGAAGACCAATCTTTGCAAGACCGGTTGGCAAGAATACACCTGCGGTCTAGACTTCGGGAAATAGAGTTAGACCGGGAACGGATTAAGGTTAGGGATGAACTCAGAGATTCCAAAAGAAAGCAAATTCCTATTGACAATGTCCTCGCTAGACAAGATACGATGACGTCACGTCCTTCAATGACGTCAAGGAAACCAACACGACTTTCGGTGACTTCTGATCCACGATTTCCTCAGGACGAGGACGGTCCGAACGCTTATCTTCTTGGAGAGTTTAAGAGAATGTCGGAGGTCATTCCCACTATTCTTCTAACGCTGTCTGCAAAGGACGACAAAAACAAACCGAAATCTGGTTCGAGATACAGACCAGAGCATGCAAAAACACAATCAAAGATTAATTCTATACAAGATTACGAGCCTGACCTCCATCGCATCACAAAACTAGCTCGTACTGTGAAAACTCTTAGACATAACATGGCCATCAATAAGAAATTAGAATTTACACGGCCAACAGTTTCGTTGGCGAAAATGTTCAAAGAAATATATGAGAAAGAGCATGATTTGGACCAATACACTGATGGCGCATGCGTTTTATTGAAAAGGAAAATGGAGAAACGGCGCCGGGGACCTTTGCCTCAACTTGATCAACCAATAAGGCGACGTCATTCAGCTTATGAGTTCTCCACAACAGAAAAACTCAATGATAGCAGCACCGGAACCGGAAGTGATGTCCGGGAAAGTGTATTTCCACCTCATGGTAGACATTCCGCTGTGCTTCCCGCCCTGAAGAGGACGCCGAGTGTTGCCAATTTGCCACGGATGACCAGGAGTATGTCAAGTCTGAGTGTCCTTGGTGTCCGACCGTCCGAGAGTCCGGACACAAAACTATTTATTGGCGAGGATGAACTTGTCATGCGCAAGAGAGTTGCGTTCGAATTACACAGATATGAACGGTTGAGAGAGAAAGTGGACAGATTTCTTATTCCCTCAAAAGCTATTACCGAAGTATCTGACGAAGCAGCTGTCACTTGATATAAGGGGTAGCCATTTAAGAATATATGCTGCCTAACCGCAAAACGAATCTCCCTTTCCAAAAAAAGTGCCACACTGAAAATTATGTCAAATATGAATGATAATTTCGACAATGTTCAATGTTTCGAAAAGTACACAAGAATTAACGACACATTTAAAGGTACACAACAATGTTTGAAAGGTACACAAAAACTGATGATACCGTTGACAGATACACAAGAATTGATGACACATTTGAAAGGTATAAGACGTTTGAAACGTACACAAGAATTGATGACGCGTCTGAAAGGTAAACAAAAAGTGATGACCCATTTGAATGGCATGCAAGAAGGGATGACAAACAAACCATTCAGCATTATTAGGCATTGAAACTATTAAAACTATTATTACATACGTAAACATGTAGCATTTTCGAGAAACATTGAAACAATTGTCTCCATTAGCATGAAACTACATGATAACTTCAGGGGGGTGATACAGTGATCATTGGTAAAAAATGGCTCTTTTTTTTCAGATATGAAATTCAAGAGCAATGAGTCCCGTAACGCAAAGTTGTGTGCTCACTTGTTACATTTGTAAACAAATAATTCACAAAATCATGTTTTTTCCCAAAAAATGTTTTTTTAAGAAGAAAATGAGTGTTTTTGTAATTGTTTACGGTTGCGTCACTCTAGCTTTTTATTTCATGACAAAATATAACTAGATATATTTACGAAACTCTATTTAATATCGACAAAAATCCTTTCTGAAGGCACATGGATGTGAACAATTTCACCAGGTTTTGAGACTTCCGAAAGAAAGCGAAAATGTGTGTCTTCATTACTTGTAAAAAAATAATCTGGTCTTGACAATCGGTCACATGATAAATTTAAATATGTTCTCAGAAAGTTTTGAGTTGACTTTTTGAAATTATTATCGTCTTTAAATGACCATTGTGTTCGAATGTCTAATGAACATTTTGGTATTCCGTCTTCGCGTATTGCAGAGTTATCTTCTCTTGGGAGCAGGTATTGATTGTTACGTCACTTGTTTGTGAGAGAAACGTCATCAATTTTTGAGAAAACGACATAATTTTCTCACACTGACCAATGACGTAACAATCAATACCTGCTCCCAAGAGAAGATAACTCTGCAATACGCAAAGACGGAATATGCGAATGGATATGTCCATGACATGTATCTCCCCCTTAAGAATTAAGAAAATCATTGGCCGTTTTAAAATAAAAGTAGTAGAAACATATATTATGATTCCCATTGGTGACCGAGGTATCATTTCCTCTTTATTTTTTCCATTTATCGTTAATATCCTATAAATTGTTTTCTACAAGTGACAACGATATATTGTATCGGCCTTTAATAAAATATTATCATGAGTTTTAAAACTTGTTTTTTTTTACTTTGTTTTTCTTTTCTACAGAAAGTTTTTTTTTTTTTTTTTTTTTTTTTTTTTTTTTTTTTTTTGTATATTTGCAAGAAAAAAATGTATAGGTTGTGCACGAGTACCGGGGTATGTCTTTCATAATTCATCAAGCATAAAACAAAAAAAAGTGGCCTAGAATTTAGCATTATTTATTTGTAATTTTGTCAAGTATATAATGGATAATCTGATTTTCGTTTTAATATCCTATCCATTTAAATGGCCACATAAACAGGGTTAATTTATCATTGTTATTAAATTTTGATTGGCAATTATGAAATCTGGCTTTTTCGTCTGAGGTCTAAGGTCAAAGCATGAGGTCGGAAGTCAAATCACAGCAATGTTTGAACTGTTTAATACTACTAGTACTTGATGGAAGTATGTGAATATTATGATTATTTGATGTCATGCCAAGTGGTCAAAGGTAAAATCTTAAATGACCCTGTTTATAAATGATCTCCAATAACCATGATTATTATATGACTGGTGCTAATTTCCAGCCCTGATTGGAGGAGCGACGTCATGTGAAAAGTCTGTAAATATGTTACAGACCTTAATGAATAGAAAAGTGTTACAGACCTCGACCTATAAATAGAAAAGTGTTACAGACCTCGACCTATAAATAGAAAAGTGTTACAGACCGCTACTAAAAATAGGCCTAGGTATGTGTATGTTATTTTGTATTTGAAGTCTTTCACTCTGTGATTCCAAATGGTCCATACCATCCATCTGTTTATGGATTAATCTCATTGTAAAATATCATATGATAAAACAATTGTGGACTTCAGTTTCGGCCTATCCCTGATTTACGAACCCGTATCTGTATAAATACGTGGACTCCTACGTATCTATACATAAACATAAACATAGACATAAACCTGGTCTGAACAATATTCACATCGGCCGAATATTCACCTCGGCCTTCGGCCTCTGTGAATATTGTTCAGACCAGGTTCGTAAATTAGGGATAGACCTCACCCGAGGTCCATAATTGTATGATACAGTATGGTCTATTGAGGAACTCAAACAAATTTTAGTTTAACAAGAAGACGCTGTCATCGATATCCCGCTTGCACGGCAAAAGTCATTAAAACATGAAGCGTAAAATATAGGTCAAAATCACCATCCGCAATATGCATTCTGTAGAGCAACCCTAGATACACAGTTGATGTAAGTATAATCAGCATAGCACTTGTAGTAGGCAGAGCAATTCTTCTTAACCAGGTGCATGGACAGACGACGCACGGACGGACCACATTTCTATATCCCCCATCAACTTGTTGAGAGGCTATAAGATGATTCACGATACTACAAGGTATACATAACATGGCTACCGATCAATAACGATACTACAAGACATTCATCTGTTGAATAAATCAATTCCCAGAAGAAGAAAAAAATCGTCTTTCGGTTTCATTTGGTAGAAAATGTCTGGGCTACATCCATTTTGAAGGACTGCAGCGCTGCTTTCAATGTACATAACAAATGATGATGTCAGACTATTAGTTCAATGTACACAATAAATGATGATGTCAGACTGTTACTTTAAATGTACACAATAAATGATGATATCATAGGCTGTTACTTTAAATGTACACAATGAATGATGATGTCATAGGCTGCTATTTTCAATGCACGTGACAAATAAAGACGTCAAGACTATTTTCAATTGGCACAATAGAAGATGTCATAGACTGCATATTTAACGAACACAATTAATATAATGACAATGTCATCGGCTGTCCTTTTTAATGGGCACAATAAATGATGATGTCATAAACTGCTATCTTCAGTGACCTTCAAATGGATATGAGACGATTTCTTCCAAATGAGATATACATAAAGGGCGAAAGTACAATAATTTTATCAAGAGCGATCTGTTCAATGGATTTGTGTAAAAGCAAACAAGCTTCCCTTTGGAGTCAATTAAATATGTTCCAAGCAATAAGCTTTGCTAACATATTATGATTTTTTCCAATTAAAGTTTAAATTGATCAATGAAATCTTAAGAAATATATTTTTTTTAAGTATACTAGACATAGGTCAAGGATGGATTATTCTGACAGACTGTTAGTCGATCTCAGGTTAGTATAGAAAGATAACAAAAACATTTCATTTTTTTATAATTATTTAAGCTTGATAATACAATTTCTTACATACTCATTCAACTTTTGAACATAATTACCAATTTGCATGATTGACACAAATTTGGTTTAGGGAAGAACCAAGGAAGGGTGAATTGTCGCAACCAGTTGATCTCTGGTCTTCAGTATAAATATGACAGGGCAGGTTAGTTTTCAGGAAAATTCTAATATAACACTTTATAAACACATATATAAAGTACCTGTATTTACAGAAAGTGCTTGGATTTTCAAGTACATGAAGTGTGTTTCTTTTTTTTATTTAAATCAAACTTATTAACTCATTCTAACTAAAAAAAAACCAACTCAAATTACATAAAAAAATAGTCAGATTACAAAATTTCTTAATCACACAAATCTCCTCTTTCAGTTTCTTCTTTCTTTAAGTGTTATCCTGTAACAACAATTAAGATTACATTAAAAATTTGAAATCTTTTCGTAATTTTTCTGTGAAAATGTTTAACCTTTACAAGCACTACTTTTGCCTTTGTTTTTCACAGTGCAAATGTTATTTACACAAAACAATGACTAAACAATTTATCTACATGATTGTTAAGTGAAACCCGTCTAATCTGTTCCCTCAGCATTCCGACATTCCGTTTAATCCAATATTATGCTTAAACTCCTTTTTTTTTTTTATAAAAAACTTCCAAATACAACCTTGAAAACTATTCAGTATAAACTCTGCATTCCAACATATTGCCTATACCGACTAGTGTTATATTGTACAGGGTGCCTGATTCAAGTTAATATTGAGCAAATACCTTCTGTCCCACAAGATGTCAGATTATACAGGTTAATTTGACCAATATCTTGTCCCATAGTGTGTCTGATTAGACAGGTTAATTTGTCTGCAGGGTACGCTGTTGGATTACACCGGTTTATTTGACTCGCTGAGTGCCATATAATCTGACCTATATATTGTGTTGCAAAAAGGTGCCAGATTAGACAGGTTTCACTGTATAGAGTATACCACACTAATCTTTACTCTCTCTCTATAATGAAGCTCTGTGGATGATAATAGCACTGTCCCACAGCAATAGGGTACTTCTTACATTACTAAGCATCTACATGTCACAAGCATATGACTTCCACACCAATAGTCATAATGCTTAATTTACAATATCAATTCAGAATATGAGAGTAATATATCATTGTTTTAAAGATGTAAATGATATAATCTATCAACATTATCAATTCAGAATATGAGAGTAATATATCACGTTTTTAAAGATATAAATGATATAATCTATCAACATTATCAATTTAGTCATATGAGAGTAATATATCACGTTTTTAAAGATATAAATGATATAATCTATCAACATTATCAATTCAGAATATGAGAGTAATATATCATTGTTTTAAAGATATAAATGATATAATCTATCAACATTATCAATTCAGAATATGAGAGTAATATATCATTGTTTTAAAGATATAAATGATATAAGGAAATTCCATCTGCAACAGTATTTATTTTTTTAAATTGGAGCTCTTAGTACATAGTCCTGAGAGTGGAATCTCAAAATATTCCAAGTGCCAAAGAGAATCTTTCTGAAGTGTTTTGCCCAGATTTGAAAAAAGATGGGTGTTGGGCATTGGAAGCTTTTTATATGAAGCCCCACTTTCACCATTAATGCACATGTCAAGTTCGGTTGGTGTAGCACTTAAAAGCAAAAACTAAATGTTGATGGAGATGCTGACAAAGTCAATGGACCATGAAAGGTAGGCCGCGTCCACCATTCGATGCATGGGTTGAGATGTAATACCCAGGATGCATCTATGGTCAAAGTTTGGTTGGTGTACCACTTATACTTTCAGTGAAACTAACTTAAACGCAAAAACTTACTGTTGACGTCGTCGGAAAAGCAACACCTTAGTCTCGCTTCCGCGACTTTGTGGCGGCGAGACGAAAAATTTGGGGGAGTGTACATCCCACCCCCCCTCTCCCCCATAATGCCGGAGAAAACACTGTTTTTTCCATATCTTGTCATTAAAAGACAAAGTCAAATATTCTGTGAGAAAGAAACTTTTTATACAAGCACGTCTGTTATAGTTTGAAATCTCATCATACATTTTGATATTGCAAAATAACGACAAGGCTCATACCGAATGAGATAGTTCCATTCGTAACACACAAGGGGAGACAACTTACAATACACCTATCGACACATTTCATGCAGAAACCACAACTTTAAAAATAATCGAAGAACCATTCTATACATCTGTTGACCAAATTTAGAAAAGCTAATAACTGATCTTTTCAAAGCTGAAAAATGGCCACTCTTGGAAACTTACTTCTGACAACTGAAAATAAACACTGGATAATTCATGATGGAAATCCTATTTTCTAGTTGAATGATATAAAGCAAAAATATACATACATACATGTCCGTCAAAGTATCTACAAGTGTGATTTTATGCAGTATATAGTATAAGTTTACATCTACGGTTCTTCAGTGAGGTTCACATTTGAATTTATAGACGACAACACCGAATAAAGGATAAGGTATATGTTATTGTGTTAATAAGCAAACTGTATTAAAATATAATCACAATCATGGTTTAAATTTTCGTTTTCTTTATTCCTATTGATTCTATCAAGCAAAAATAAAAATCTGGGCTGGCATCAGAATTATTTTTTGTCAAACAAATACCCAAAACGTCATCAAATTATTATCTCAACAGTAAATCATCTTTATACAATGTAGACACAAATACATTTTTTTTTTTACATAATACATATATATTATAGAACCAATTTTCAAATTCCATGTAATTTTTTTATTTATTATAATGATACATTACAAAACAAAAATCTTATTTAGGTTGAACAATTTAAAAAATAAATAAATCAAGCTATGTTAAATACAGTTTTTCTTGTAGATTTTGAAAACTTACAATTCATAAAGAAATTCACCAATACTGCTATTAGAAAAAATAGGAATGAAAGTGAAAGTCAAAGAGCAAATTCACCTTAGGATCTTGACACATTTTACGTTATCCTATAATTACAAAGTTCTATGACGCAAAATATACAGACATGTTATACTAACATGAAACAGTCTCTTCATCATAGAATGGCCAATAGGAACAAGGCTTTCTTATGTTGACGACTCATCATATTTCACTCCATCTTCTCTTTTTGCAAAATTATTCTTTTTTCTTCTGTTCCTACTATTGCTTCTTTTCTCTGCTTCAAATGACAATGCAAATTCGGCCTCCTGCAGTTACACACCAAAGCAAGCCTTCTGATTGGTAAAAGACCTAATGTCTAAAGGTTCAATTCTGTCTTCACTTCAGTTTGTTTGTTGCAAATCACTGTTAATTCATAAAGACTATACGAGGTTAGTAGATTTATTTTTTTCTTCTTCTTTTATTTAAAAGAAGCATTTTTTTCCATTTTTTACACAATTTTTATTTTGTAAATTGAAATTCCACTTCAGTCAAGTATAGAAATTCATTTTGTCATGAACAGTTTAAACGTTCACAACTGAACTTTCTGAATAAATCTTTTCACAGAACAATCTGTGATTCACAGTGGTAAGATGGCCACTCTGTGAAGTTGTCGATTTTTTAAGCTGTTCGAGTTCTTCAGGCCAAGGGAGATAACCCTGCTTTGTCACGGCATTTTGTGATTAAGGCTCGCAACATGAACTGTCTTCTTGAAAGTTCTCTTACTTGCTGTAAACATAAAAAATACAAAATTATGTTACTTACAGGTAAATTCATACTTAATTTTTTTTTCATGTTTTCTTAATTTAGGATCCCTGTACCACTGCCAAAAACCAAGTGTTGGAAACTGTTTTTTCATGCATGACTATAGCTTTGATAAAAAAAAATCTGAAAAGACAACCTTACCTTATGTGACTTTTATGAGAAACAATAAGAATGAAATAAGAAATAATGAAATCAATAATATTGTTTTGAGTGTAAAATTTCAGTGGGGCTAGACCGGAATACGAACCCTGGATTTACGATTGTTATACTATCACTCTAACTAATTCGGATACCTGGTCGTCGGAAATAGGTTTGGTTTGGTTTGTTTGTGTTTTACGTCCTATTAACAGCTATGGTCATTTAAGAATGTGCCAGGTTTTGGTGGTGGAGGAAAGCCGGAGTTCCCGGGGAAAAACCACCGACCTGCGGCCAGTACCTGGCAACCTTGAAATATTCTGGCCCAGTAGGTCTACAGTTACAGTCAAATGGAAGTGGAGGGGATGATAACTGTATACATGAAATCTTCGTTGTGTATAAACATTTGTGGTTTTCTAGTTGCTTTTGGTCTGGTTTGGTTTGTTTGTGTTTTACATCCTATTTACAGCAATGGTCATTTCAGGACGTGCCAGGTTTTGGTGGTGGAGGAAAGCCGGAGTTCTTGGAGAAAAAACACTGACCAGCTGCCAGTACCTGGCGACTGCCTAAGTAGGTCTCGAACCTGCGACCCAGTGGTGGAGGGCTAGTGGTAGCAGAAAGTCAGATACCTTAACCACTTGGCTTCCGTGGCCCCCTTGTGTTTGCTATTGAACCACAAAAATAAATACCCCTCGTGGTTACTATTGATCCACGAAAATAAATACAACGAATTTATATGATATGCATGTCTACTATTTGTTAATATAGGATATTCACGAGAGTTTGTACCACGAAACGATCTTAATGACTTTAAACCACGAAAGAAAGTACCCATGAACATTTTGTGTTATACAGTATACGAAAAACCACAGCGCAGCGGGACAGGGATCCTAAAATTCAAATTTTATATGACAAGTCTTTTTTACATTTCAATACAGTTTGTGCTGAGATTTCCCAAGGCTTTTGAAAAGTTCAGTTTTCTATTGATAACAAGTTAATATTGAAGCAAAAGTTGAACTTTTAAGAGTTGAGTTATTAAGTTATCAAAATAATAAGGATGCAATCTTGAAAATATTTTTTCATCAATGTAAAAATAACAAACTTTTGCAAAATATATTAAAAAAAAAAATCAATAGAAAGAAGCAACTTCAACTAATTAATGATAATAATACATTTTCAGGAAAGCTTCAAGAAATTGGATACAGGTCTTCATGAATACTATTTAATGAAAATTCTCCATATTTTATGTACAAGCTTAACTTCCTCAATTGTCAAAGTGAAATTCTGAAGACTTGACATCAGAAATTGAACAAATCACACACACAAATAACCAGAGATGGTGTCAAAGCCACCAAATGCTTGCCTGTTTAAAATTTTATCCTATTTAAAAATTTGTTTGTAAAAATGTATTTTTTTAAATTTTAACTTCACTTCACAGGAACCTCTATGCAAAATATCAGCATCCTAGTACACATATTTAATGAATGGCAAGCTTCTAAATAACTTGCAGTTAAAACTTTAACGTTGATGTGCTTAAAAAAAGTTGAGTACAAAAGAGGTGGAAAATTTGAAATTATTTATAAATTTTTACTTCACTACATCATTAATATACCCCACAGGAACCTCAATGCCAAATATCAGCATTCTAGTACACATGTTTAATGACCGACAAGGTTCTTAATAACTTGCAGTTAAAACTTTAACGTTGATGTGCTTCAAAAAAGTTAAGTACAAAACAGGTCAAAATATTTCAAAAAATTGAAATCATTTTTTAATTTTAACTTCACTTCATCAATATTATACCCCACAGGAACCTCCATGCGAAATATCAGCATCCTACTACACAACTTTAATGAATGACAAGCTTGTAAACAACTTGCAGTTAAAACTTTAACGTTGATGTGATTAAAAAAAGTAAAGTACAAAACAGGTCAAAACATTTCAAAATTAAAAAAAATAAATGTTTTTAATTTTTACTTCACTACGTCAATATTATACCCTACAGGAACCTCCATGCCATATATCAGCATCCTAGTACACAACTTTAATGAATGACAAGCTTGTAAACAACTTGCAGTTTAAACTTTAACATTGATGTGATTAAAAAAAGTAAAGTACAAAACAGGTCAAAACATTTCAAAATAAAAAAAAAAAAATGTTTTTAATTTTTACTTCACAACGTCAATATTATACCCCACAGGAACCTCCATGCCATATATCAGCATCCTAGTACACATATTTAATGAATGAAGCTCGAGCTCTCTGTTCTTCGAACAGGCGAGCTAAAAAAATAAATCAGTAACTTTTGAGGTTGAGAGAAAAGTTGAATGTCCATTTGCAGAAAATTTTCAAAGTTGAGGTATTTTACGAATCAGTGGTTGTTAAAAACAGGGAAGTTGTGGGTAAGGTGAAAGAGTTCTTACCTTTAGGAAGACATCAATATCAATGACATCTTTGCGTAGTGCGTCGCCGAGGTAGAACAACGCATCTTCAATGGCTTGTTCCTCTGCGAATGAGTTCACCAACCTACAAGCATCAACATTAGATAGAAATATTAATACACATATATTTTGAACACTACTTGTGATTTTTGTTTTTCAGAACTAGAAGTATGTTTAACATGAAACCCACATTCACAGTTTCCAAGGTAAAAGGAATCACAAAAAATATTCATAAATAGATAATTTTATGTGAACAAAAAGCATATACAGTTACTATTCAACCTTTGACCTGGAGGTGGAGGTCACCGCAACCTAGTATAATGAACTGAGCTTAGGCTGTAAAGTTTAAACCATTGGAGACATTTGAGTACCTTTGGAGTGTACATATGCATCATCCACTGAGTGGTCAAAATGAGGGAGTCTCCCTCCCAATGAGGGAGGGTTGACAGCTATGGTAATGACTGTTTTATACAATGGTATCGTGGTGACCACAGCATTGTCTAGTCCAGCTAATACAAATTTAAAAGTTTAACAAAAGAAGAGAAGAATACACTGACTGTTTATACAGCGGCATCGTGGTGACCACTGCATTGTCTAGTCCAGCTCAGATTTTTTTTTAAAGTTTAACAAAAGAGGAGAAGAATACACCTACTGTTTATACAGCAGCATCGTGGTGACCACTGCATTGTCTAGTCCAGCTCAGATTTTTTTTTAAAGTTTAACAAAAGAGGAGAAGAATACACCTACTGTTTATACAGCAGCATCGTGGTGACCACTGCATTGTCTAGTCCAGCTCAGATTTTTTTTTAAAGTTTAACAAAAGAGGAGAAGAATACACCTACTGTTTATACAGCGGCATCGTGGTGACCACTGCATTGTCTAGTCCAGCTCAGAAAAATTTAAAAGTTTAACAAAAGAAGAGAAGAATACACCTACTGTTTATACAGCGGCATGGTGGTGACCACTGCATCGTCGATGTTCAGTCCCCCCTGTTTGCCCATCTTATCCAAGGCGTTCTTGACCTCACTATCCTTCTCCTTCAACATTTGAATATTGTTCTCGATGTCATTCTGAAAAAACAAGCCATTCCGATTGATATATCTCGCCTATGCCCCGCTTTGACCATCAACGCACATATCAAAGAAACTAACTTAAACGCAAAAACTTGTTGATGGAGATGCTGACAAAGTCAATGGACCATGAAAGGTAGGCTGCATCCAGCATTTGATGCATGGGTTGAGATGTACTACCTACTACAGCTGACTCAACTGATTCAGCACGCTGTGGCTCAGTGAGTTTTTTTCAGCAGTTTAGAGTCGAGGCACTGGTTGTTTACTCTCTTTGCTTGACAAAGGAAACAGATGTTTTTGAAAGCTCGCAAAATATGTTTTCAATTCCTGTTTGTGTTCAAAACAACCTTAGCCTTTGATATGCACACCAAACTTATGAATCTTGTTCCGAAAATTTAATTTAACTGTAAGAAGCATTCTGATTGGTTCATTTATGCAGAGTTCACATCAAGTTTTCCAAATGAGAAGGCGAGATTGAAATTTAACACTGGGCAAAAAGTGCTATCTGGAGATCTTATTAACAGAACGCAACACTATGTAAGTTCTTTTTTCAGAATATCAGAAGGGCAAAATTTGGCAGAGCAAAAAATTCATGCGGGCAAATTAGATAAACTTCAATCATGCAATGTTAATATTAAATCTCAATAATGATAATAATAATAATAATAATTTGAGGTTCTTATAAACCGCTTTATCACAACCTAGTTCGTAGGTCGTCTGAAAGCGGTTTGCAAATTATTATCCGTTAAAAATAAAATAATGGTCCAAGACAAACTAACTTTAGCAAAACTACAGGAGTCAATGCATCAACGACATTTGGGCATACATACCTTTTCCGTATCCAGATCCTTCATCATTTTGTCCAATTTGTCCCTCCCTTGAAGAAGATCTGTCTGCGTTTTGTGCAACACATTCATTTCAGCCTACAAGTGGAGTTCCAACATATAGAGACCACAGAAGTCAGAAACGAGGAAAACTCACTGGAGTGACGGATCCTATTTATAGACCTGTTTGTTCAGCTTTAGCTAAATGCTTAAATTTCCCAAGTAATTTAATGTGGTTTTTTTTGTAGATACTGGGATCAAATAAAATTATTTAGAAAAGAAATCGGTTCAAAATTGATTTCACAGAAGATAGGTGTCAACCTCTGACACCTCCAATGAGGGAGATCTCCGTCATTCCACATTTCCAACGAGGAAGAAAGTGTGTGAAAAGTATGTATCAAAATAACTCCGAAAGCATTCGTTTGATTCAGACATACCTTTTGTTTCGAGAGACAAAATTAGGGAGGGGGCTTAATTAATATTGCAGGCATCCATCCTTTCCAAGAACATTTGCCAAAGTGGGGAGGGGGCTTATTTGCAGTCAAATACGGTAAATAAAATCATGATACATGGGTATGATGCAGGAAAGAATTAACTTCAAAATGGATTTCATGGAACCATTTATCCAATTCAAGTCGTAGAACAATATTAATAGAATTCCACAGGTAACATCCAGATGAACAAAATTAGAAAACAATGTTATAAATATACAGTAATAACATATAAATGTAATTAAGTGTGAAGTGCAAAATATACAGTGGGCAAATATGGATTTCGACGACAGAGGGCGATTATTTCCTTGTATACAGTACATTGTTGGTGTTAGAATGAAGAAAATCTAATAACTATTTTCAGACATCACCATATAAAAGTTATATATTTCTTTAGATATTAACTAGCAAGCAAAACTCTGCTTACCGGTACTTTATACTTAAAGCAGTTAAACTTTGGCCTTTTTCAGCCCTCCATCGTCAAATTTCTCATGATGGCAAGTATTAGTACAAAGCACTTAGCATTTACTTGTGAAGGGGAATTTAACATTTGGCAAATATGAATTTTGCTTGTGAGGAGCGAATATTTGGGTAACTGTTTTATCAAAATCCAGCTTGGTACAATTGGCTGTTTTTAAACCCATACGTGTTGAGCTGATTTAAACCAGATAAACCACATAAAAATAAATGTTATTTTTTTTTTGAAAAATTCACCAAAAAAGCTGCTCAAAAATAAGAGTACCTATCTTGAATCGGTCAAAGTATAACAATTTAGTAATAATATACCTGCGCTTGTTCAAATATTTCCCTCAGCCTCCGTTTCATTTTATCCTCGACGGCTGATAACAGTGACATCCTAAGGTGTTCTTCTGTCACTGTGTTGGTATTACCAGGCCCACTCTGGCTAGAGCTGGTCACTGTTGTTACAATCAATGATCATATCTTATGATTACAAGGTCATCAAAATATCAACCCAAGGTCATAAATTTCTAAACGCAAGGTCACAGATGTCTTACACAAGGTCACAGATGTCAGACACAAAGATGTCATACTCAATGTCACAGATGTCTCAGTCTGATTTAAGGTTACAGATATAAATATACAAGGTCTTATATGTCTTGATACAAGGTCACAGATGTCTCAGTCTGATTCAAGGTCACAGATATAAATATACAAGGTCTTATATGTCTTGATACAAGGTTACAGATGTCTAAAATCAAGGTCACAGATGTCTAAACTCATGGTCACAGATATAAATATACAAGGTCTTAGATGTCTTGATACAAGGTCACAGATGTCTAAACTCATGGTCACAGATATAAATATACAAGGTCTTAGATGTCTTGATACAAGGTCACGGATGTCTTAACTTAAGGTCACATATGTCTGATTCAAGGTCACTGATGTCTGATATAGGTTACAGATATAACTATGCAAGGTCTTATGTTTTGATATTAGATCACATATGTCTTAACTCAAGGTCACTGATGACTGATTCAAGGTCACATAAATATTCAAGGTCACGGATATAATCATACAAGTCTTGATTCAAGGTCACTGATGTCTGATATTCAAGGTCACATATAATTATTCAAGGTCTCATAAGTGTTGATACAAGGTCAAAGATGTCTTAACTCATGGTACTTAAAACTTCAGGTCACATAAACATGTCTTTTAATCACAATGTCAGAGATGCCTAAAGACAAGCTTGGAATCACTGGCTCCAGTACTAGTATTATAAAAAAAATCCCTAATATTTCAGAAAATTCCTCAACTTGAAAACATTGCTGAAGTAAAGGAAAATGACTTAAAACTTCCTATCCACACTGTGTTTTTTTTGTATATGCTGTCAGCTCCCCTTAATTTCGTTTTAGATATAACTGTAGCACATTTTGGCCAGAAGACAATGCAGATCAGCTGATTATCGATTAGTGCGAAAGTACAACAATCTGAAGTCCAGTCCAAACCTAGGTCTCTCTGCCGTCGATTGGTGATGACAGGAACATTCAAAGTGAGGCTGAATAACATTAACCTTTCGGGTTCACACTTTTGTTTGTAATGTAAATTATAATCAAATTCATGATGTGTCCTGGTCAATGCCATCATTATTAGCGATTGCCATCAGGGCTTCATATGCAAATGTATATTGTTGCTATACCATGATAAATTATTTCAATTGTCAAATCAAATGCTGTGTTACATCACAAATGAATTAGAATTTCCACTGAACCAATCATATATTACGGATAAATTCAGCTGATTCCCAACCCCTCGTAATATTCAGTTCAAATGTTTGCAGGACATCACTAAGACTGTGTCATCACACATAACATATATACATAAAAAAAAATGGTGGTAAAAATGTGGTACGATACAGCAATATTTTCATTTTTTGCATTGCGATATTGCGATACTTCTATGCATGTTTTCCAATACAGTTTTGAAAGTTCCGTATTACCTGTACTGGCGGTAGATGTGGGGTACTGTGATTGAGGATAGCCTGGGTACGGGGTCTGGGACGGGTACTGCTGCTGACCACTCTGGGGGTAGCTCCCTGTACTTGGTGGATATGCTGGAAATCCTTGCTGTGGGTAATTTCCACCGTAATTGTACTCGGGTCTGCTCCCTGCCTGATTGTACCCCCCTGAGGGGTACTGGCTATATGCTGGAGGGTTGGCGGTGGTTCCTCCTGGTGTTGGCATCTGAAAGCCTCCTGAAATCATATTGGATTTTGAATTTATCAAATTATCATCTGTTTCAACAGTCAACACAATAGATCAAGAATGAAAAACAAAAACTGCCAATAGAAAAAGATATGCTTTAAACCATGCTGAGGCGATAAAGTGCATACTGTAAAAGCATATATTTTCACTGGGGTTAAATTCGGTTGTTTTTGTATAGGGACAAATTTGTTGGAATTATATTTCGTGGAATCAATATTTTAAAACCCAGCCTTTTTTTCTGGTAGGTAAGAAGTTTAAATTGACAGGTGTGACGACACAGTGCAGGTAAATATAGTACAGGTAAGATCGGATGAGATTTACTCACTCGATGGGTATCGGTCAAATCCTTCACGCTCTATAGCTTATATATGTATACAAAGAGCGATATACACATAATGTATACTTTTTAGACTCACATAGACGTACATGTACCTTGACAGGTGCTGACGTTACCTGTATAACAATAACTGTGTTACAAATATAACGCTTGATTGACAAGCTGTTGTTATAAGTGTTTACCTCTGTGTCTGTGACGATAATTACACCGTTTATCATGACTTGTGTCTAAATGTAAATACACCATGGATTTGTAATAAAATCAATAGTTTATTCAATATTTCCTTTTAGTTTATATGTTTAAAATTTTGTTGGAATTGTAGTTCATGGTTTTTATAAAACCACCAAATAAGCAAAATTAAATCCCCTACGAAATATTATGTTTTACAGTACATGTCAACTTCTGGACCCTCCTCAGAGAGATTTGTCCTTCTAACCAAGCTCCTATAGCTAGAAAGCAATGAAAGTTAAGTGCATGAAACTTTACGTGGAATTTCTTCAGTTGCATGGTGCAGTGAAACATGGCTTCATCAAAAAAAAAAAAATCCCTTTATTATTTTGAAAAGTTCTGCTGCATTCTTAAAGTATCACTAAAGAACCCAGACCAGTGACTCTTCTAAGTGTAACTCATTCACCCCTGAAAGGACTATATATGGTTTGGGCCTGTTTTGCCCCCGCAAATGCATCAAAATTCAAAACCTTTAAATGAACTTTGAAATGACTGTTTCTTTAACTTAGAATACTTCCCAAATACTATCATGAAAACATTTATTTATATTTCTAATTATTGTTGCCATGGTAACAAGTTCAAATTTGCATAAATTAGAAAAAAATGAATATTCAATGAATATTGTGATATTTTGCATAGTTTTTCTCCTAGAAACTATAGAGCGCATGCTTGAACAAACTTAATATCAAAGGATAATGTGTAGGCACCTGTAATACATCTTTAGGTGAAATATAAAGTTTGTTGAAGAGTGCGCTCTATGGTAACTCAGAGAAAAAGTAGGTGACCAATCAAAGAACTAGAATCATGCCTTCTATTTTGCTGTGACATTTTCCAGGGATGCAGAGAGCGTAAGTGAGAGTAACCCCTGGAGTATTGAGGATGTGGTTTCCCAAAACATTGTCATCAGCCAGCCCTCTACGTTACATTCTTTATATAAAAATTCTTGAAATTCCTGGCCTCATTACATCAAGCAGTTCTGGTATAAATGCCACTACTAGGACTAATGTTTTTGTACAAAAGCATTTCTTTGTTTGACTTATCATCTGAAATAACTGCAGAATCAGCTGCTGTAGCAATTGATCTGTTGCCACAGTTCATCAGTGTCAACTTCATCCTGTTTCAGAGTCACAACAGGGTTGCCTCCTTCTTATTTCTCCTTGGTCCTATTTTCTTTCTTGGAATTTGCTACAAAGACATTTTTGACAGTGATTTTGCCAACACTGATCTCACTTGGCAATAGATTGGTTGAGTTGTCTCCCTTAGACCAATGAGGGAACTGGACCAGATAAATTTGTGGAAATGTAAATGGCAGTTTTATCATGGTTTGTTTCTTCCAGTTTGATACAAATAGGTAAGTGATGGAGCATCACCACCAAGGATTCCGTAAATGTTAGTTTTATTAGTATACATGTGTCACCCTGGTAAAATACTAGCCGCTTCCTACCGACTTGGCGAGGGAGAATTTCCCATTAGCTCATTCCGTAGAGTGTAGGTTCGACCCTTGGCGGAGGCATTGAAAAAAATAATTACCTCTGTTACATTGGCGCACACGTAGGGACTCGAGAGATATGACAAAAGTACTTACCTCTGTTACATTGGCGCACGCGTAGGGACTCGAGAGATATGACAAAAATACTTACCTCTGTTACATTGGCGCATGTGAAGGGACTCGAGAGATATGACAAAAATACTTACCTCTACATAATTTGATACAAATAAATTTATGACAGAAATTCTACGTAAATACCAACACTGACATCACCTGACAAATGATTGGTTATGTTTTCTCCCTTAGTGGCTAACAAATAAAATCACAGGGTCTCTCTGCCTTAAGACATGGTGTTATATACCAAACATTTAAGTGATACTGTTATTTCTAAACATTTTCTTCCGATTGGTAAGTGTTTCTATGTGACGTTACGACGACTAGTCCAGTATGTACTCTGTCGCCTTCATCAGACATATGACCATTAAAATGTATGTACACAAGTCATATCGGTTGAAACTAATTGAACATACCCTTAAAGTGTAGCCGAATCAACATCGATTTGTGGACAGCTCTTACACCTTTGTGTACATACGCTTCACTGGCCATTTGTCTGATGAAGGTGACAGAGTACATACAGTACTAGTCATCGAAACGTTACATAGAAACACTTACTGGTTGTGTTACAAGAATCGTTTCATTAGCGATACTGTTGTGTTTATATATATTATTGTATACCTTGTGAGGGGTATGGAAGGTTGGATGGCTGTTGTTGGGAGTATTGCTGCTGCTGTCGCTGTGCCTGAGCCTGACCCCGGGAAAATACTGGAGGATCATCGCTAAATACAATCACAAGTATCTGTATCAATCCAAGTAGGTCCGATTGAGGCTGAAAAATATGGCAATTCAATAACGTCACAGAACAAGAAAATTATGATTTGGAATTCAGAAGGATCACAAATCCAATACAAATTTTGTCAAAGGATTCATCCAATCAACTTGAACATTTTAGAGAAGATCTTGACGAAAGTTGAAATCAAGAGACCACTGGGTCCCAATCACTTCCCCAACCCCATTTCTGATATACTATTTCACATTTGAATCTACATGTAGTTATACATAAATTTAAACAAACCATTCAGATTGATATGTCTCGCCTGTGCCCTGCTTTGACCATCAATGCACATATCAGCGAAACTAAGTTAAACGCAAACGTCATTGTTAATGAAGATGCTGACAAAGTCAATGGACCATGAAAGGTTGAGGCCGCATCAAGTATTTAATGCATGGGTTGTGATTTACTACCTAAGATGCATCTATGGTCAAAGTTTGGTTGGGCTAGCACTTATACTTTCAGCGAAACTAAGTTAAACGCAAAAACTTAATGTTGGCGTCGCTGCCGCCGCTGCTGTTGGAAAAGCAACACTTTAGTCTCACTTCTGCTACTTTGTGGTTCTTTTTAAACATATTTGACCCCTGTGACCTTGAAAGTAGGTCAAGGTCATTTTTACTCTTTCCCAGGTACCTACTGGCCAAATGCCATGACCCTAGGTCCTCCGGTTCTTCAGAAGAAGTCGTTCAAAAGAAAAAGTTGACGGACGGACAAAAATGTAAGAGGAGATTGCCGGACAAAAATCAAATACTGAAATGAACAAAGGGCAATAACTTTTGCAAAAATCGTTGAATCAAAATTCTTTTATGGGAGACTCAACTTCATATCATGATTATAATGTATACCAAGTTTCAAAGAGATTTGTCAAAAATGTAGGAGGAGATTGCCGGACAAACAAAAGTTTACGCCGGATGGACGGACGACGCCATACCATAATACTCCCGTCAAATTTGACGGGCGTATAAAAAATAAAATGGGAAAATTTTGAAATGTATTGGATATGTAACGATGCAGTGACGCTTACATATCTCCAGTCGCGGAGATAGGGCAGATCCACTTTGCCGTTGGCGTCGACATTTCTCCCCTGTTTGATCTGCATGCTGGTTGTAGGTTTGACAAAGACCATTGGAGGATTGTAGGGGTGCGTGTCCAGGATCCAGATACACACTGGGATATTATAGGTAACACCTGTAAACACAGACACCCAATGTTATAGGTAACACCTGAAAACACAGACACCCAATGGTATAGGTAACACCTGTACACACAGACACCCAATGGTATAGGTAACACCTGTAAACACAAACACCCAATGTTATAGCTAACATCTGTAAACAAACGGACAAACAATGTTATTGGTAACATCTGTAAACACACGGACACCCAATGTTATAGATAACACCTGTAAACACAGACAACCAATGTTATAGGTAACATCTGTAAACACAGACACCCAATGTTATAGGTAACATCTGTAAAAACACGGACAAACAATGTTATCAGTCTTAGAATTTAGAAATTACACACCATAGACAAACTTGCCAACTTTTTGAAATTTCCATCGGGGTGATTACGCATGCTCAGAATTAAGTACAAATTAACAGCATAAATATAATATGTGTATGTACACTCAAGGGAAAAAATACCGCTTTTAAATGGCACCTTTTGAGCTGTTCTTTCAATTAATGAAATCATCAGATCTTAGAAGATAGGAATAGAGGAACAAATTCACTAGTTGAAAATGCTTAATGTTAGGGTCCAAAATCTGGAGTCCCCCTCCATAATAGGGAGAGTTGGCAAGTATGCACAGACAAAAGGTCTGTGAGATCAATAGAATCCCTCGGCCCGTTTGGGGTGAGATAGGGGTATCTTAACCCGAGGGGGATGATTCTTAAGTTGCCAAACATAAGGCTTAGCCGAGTGTGTGGCTATTTAAGAATCTTCCCCGAGTGTTATGGTTCGGTCCCTATCTCACCCCAAAGGGGGCGAATGATTCTTAAACTCTTAAGTTACCCTGTTCAGCCATTGTGCATCATATACATTATATGTAATGCTAATATTGCAGGCTAAATGCAGGGTTGATGTAATGATGATGCATTATTAGCGTGACGTCATTATTGTTGACGTGAAGTCATACAATTGTTATGAATATATATATAGGGGAATCCCCCTGTGGCGACTCAACCCTAGGGCGAGTCAAGGATAACGCACACTGGAAAAAAAGTGTAAGTTCACCGGTACCTGTCCAGGGTAAGAGATTACAGACACATCGAAATTTTGTAGACCAGACCTTGACCAACAACTTACTTTTATGTTTTTCGTGTTTGATAACATATGAAAATATTACGGACTATTTTTTACAGAACACTTTTTTACCTTACTTCTATACTTATCATTGAATCATACACGTAATAAGAAACTTGGCATCTTGGTCTTTATGAAGTAGTTAGTACTCATCCTCGATATCCAGGGGTTACGCTCACCTTTGCTCTCTACACCCCTGGAATATGTCATAGCAAAATTGAAGGCTCGGTGCGTGTGCGCCACCTTGTTGGTGAGACACGAAGACTAGTTCAATCCTTTGATGTAAGAAAGAATCTCGCAGTAAACGTAATGGTAAAAATTGACAGGCTTTGAGGTCGGGCGACTCTCCTTTGTAATCTTCGAAGGACAGGTATCAGCCTAGCAATTGGTCAGTTGTTTTTTAACCGAGACCAATCAAACAGCTATCCCGGTTGTGCCTTCAATTTTGCTATGACATATTCCAGGGGTGTAGAAAGCGAAGGTGAGCATAACCCCTGGATATCGAGGATATGAAGTACCATGAATGATTCTATTAAATATTAAACAATGTCTATTTCAAGATACTTGATAACTTCTGGGACTTCACCACTTGTCTTCAGTGTCAGTCAATGTTTTACTATTAACTGAAACATGTAGCTAAAGTATGTTAATTAGCAATTAGGTCAGATTTATTTCAGGGATACAGATTGAATTTTGGAATGCAAATGCTACAATCCAATAGTTTTGAAATCTAAAACCTGTATCTTTTTAAAATGAATAACACTTTTGCATCAAATCATACTGATATACTTACTTCTGTATGATACAGGAATAGTCCCGTCCAAATTCAAGAGCTCCTTTTTCGACCCATCATTGAAAACTGCAAAAAGTGAAAATATATAAAATATACTAAGAGGTACATCTTAAAATTCATTATCATATGTCCATTAACTGTTTTTCTGATTTTTACAAAACCTTAATCATAAGTTTATGATAACAATTTGCAATAATTTAAGACAAAATTGGATGTCATTTTGAATTTTTTAGGGATGCAATATATTTACGGGACCAACTTTGAGAGATAGATTCTTGTTTTACATCTTTGCAACAATTACAAATTTTAACTCATTCACCTCTAGATTTTTACATTGGACTTGCCCAATCTTTGATCTGATAATGTTCAAATGTGAATTTAGGGGTGAATGGCATGTTTACATGGCCACTCAACTCCAATGGCCACATAAGAGTGCTGTGACGTCACACTGAAATGTCAGGACCTCGACATTCCATCGACTCGGCCACATTAATCTAACAATGAGCTGATCGGTGATGTCTGGGAATAAACTGTTGCAAGGACAGTTTTGTTTTGTTGTTAGTAGGGACGGGCATTCACTTTAATATCATAATCGATTTGTAATTGGAATCAGTTAGCTAGCTGATTGATGATCGATAGCATAATCTTTTCATAATTTTATGGGACTGAATACCCAAATGAAGTCATGAGAACACACTACTGTTACATCAGACAGAGTTGTTCACTATACACAAGGTTTCATTCTTTTATAAGGAATAGATATCAAGAAACCTTTATGCATTGTTATCAAACATACAGTATAAATCATAACAAAATGTGACTTTCAAAGCATACTTTACATGGAAGACATTTGAATACTTTGATTTCAATGATGAACCGATTATACCAATTATGGAATTTGAAATCGATAACTGGAATAAGAAAGGGCAAACCAATCAATTTTCGATTATAATCGATCATCAGCCCATCACTAGGTGTTAGGGGTTTGATATCTTTGCAACAGCTAATGCTATTGTCATATATATGAAGATCGTGCCCATCAAGATCCGATGACACCGCCGAAAAACCCCAAACTACGGGAGTGAGAAAAGGACAAATACAATGGGGAAGTGATATGCAGGTGAGAGGAGAAAATAAAACATTGGGACAAATAAAAATGTATTTTTTCCCCAATTCACATGTAATCATTAGCATTAGGATCCCCGTACCACCGGCAAAGACTGAAACTAGGTGTTGGAAAATGATTTTCCTGCATGACTATTCCGTCTTTGCGTATTGCAGAATTATCTTCTCTTGGGAGCAGGTATTGATTGTTACGTCATTGGTTTGTGCGAGAAAATTACGTTGTTTCCTCAAAAATTGATGACGTTACTCTCACAAACAAGTGACGTAACAATCAATACCTGCTCCCAAGAGAAGATAACTCTGCAACATGCAAAGACGGAATAGCTTTGATAAATCATTTCCAAAAAGAAAAACATATCTTGTAGGAATTTTGTTGAGAAATAATAGAGAGAAACGTATCATAATCAATAACAGTATTTTGAGCGGAGAGAAAAATCTGCAGGGCTAGACTGGGATTCGAACCCTGGACTTAAAATTGTTTTAATATCGCTCTAACTGATTGGGCTGCCAGATCAACAGAAGTATTCTTGCCCAATTGTGCTTCAGTTATGTCTAAACGGAAGTAAAGTAAAAGAGTCTAAGGTTACTGTATTTACAAAAAAACACAGTGCAGTGGCCTGGGACAGGGAACACTAAGAGGAAATTTAATATATTAACTCACTGTAAGGATTGTAAGCTGGTCGAAGGTCCTTGAATTGTTGAAATACATTCAGTACATCTCTTTTGGCAATGTCTGCATACTTATACTGAAAAGAAATAAATTGTTCATCTTAAACATTAGTATTTACCAATAAAAAGCTTTAATCTAACAACAAGAGGCCCAAGGGCCTTAGCGGTCACCTGAGTTATATCATAGGTACTGGTAGCTTTATTTTATTGTTTAGATGTGATGTGGAAATCAGCATGTAAACTAAGTGAAATACAATACTTGTCATGTCATCAATGGATAAGAATTTGAAAATATTGGTAAATGTTCCCTTTGGGGCCCCGCCCTAGNCAAACAATTTTTTTAGGGCGAAACATTGTTTGGTATTTTTTTCTCATTTTTATTTGTTTTAAGTCACAAATTAAGTCTTCTTAGTCTTTCATATCATTAAAATTAGTTGTATTAAAAAAATATGTGTTTGTGTTTTGCTAATTGGAGGAGATCATTTTGAGAAGTTTTGATAGTACCAACAAATAAATATTAATATGCATATTAATTAATTTAGTTTCTTTATATGTCCATATCTTATCTATATATTATACGTATCTATGTACTTAGAGAAATTAATTAAGTTTCGTTATATATCCATAACGTTAAAACACGGACAGGTGCATTTTATAAAGAACAACATTACTGGTTGTAATGTGCAGTATATTCCGGATATTAGTATGTCCGTTGTCGGGTGATGAATATACAGGTTCATTCTTTATCTTCCGCCACGTAATTATACGTATATTATATCTGGATTCAAGAGAAAGATAAGTTTTTTTTTAACTTTTAACATAATATTAATGACTTAAAGAAAAATATATTTTTTAGGGCGAAACAACCTGGGGCGAACGGGTTTTGGGGCGAAACAACCCTTAGGGCGAACGGGATTTGGGGCGAAACAACCCGTTACCGTANGATAGACGTGCCCACCACCTATGAGTAAAGCATATGTGTATTTCAGACATTTGTAACGAACCCCTGTGGATCAACTTTCAATTTCACAACAGGAAGGTTGAAATAGACAATATGATTGTATGGCGATACAGTGATTGATTGGGTGCGTTTACTTTTTAATATTTATATATTAACTCACCTTGGCTAGAGATGTTTTCAGATATGATTCGTAGTTCGTCGTCATCGTTGATGGGTTTCAAAGAAGTACAAAATAATTTTCTAGTGCCAAATTACGTCACAAACGCTACGTATAAATAATATATCCTTGTTTATATATGAGTTATCAAGTTACCTATCCCACACTTTATCAGCTATATTCCTACATTCTATATACGTGAACAATGTCGATAAATTTCCATTTCAGAAGATTATGTCAGCCATATAAATATTAAAGAATGAATCAGTGTTTGCTACATGTTTGTACAGCATTTCATCGCGCTTATTTAAAGCACTTTGGTGACCAGGATGTTAAGAATGGCCTGTCATCTAAAAATAGCATGTGACGTTATGTTGGGGAAACCCTAGGCCTATTGCAGTACGTCCTATTTTCGACGTGTCTTATTTGACAGTAAACAACTCATAGTTTTTTCTGTTATTTAAAGTGAAAGTATAGACTGAGTGCGAGAATACCTTCAAGGGCCTGCACTTTAACTGGAAGAAGAAAAACGAAAAATTATTAAGATTGAACCACGGAATTAAGTCCGTGATTGAACTGTCAGACTTACACTGACACAAAATTGTAAAATACCGCCATTGATACCAATTATTGTAACATGTAACATTATGCCTGTTACTAATTTATTATTTATTTACTTATATGTTGCCGTTAAAAACAAGACTGGGACGAATAACGTATATATATGTGTCTCTGAAACCCCCTCAGTAATAAAACAAGTTGGGCCTAAGTTAACATATACAGGCCAACGAAAGTCAAATTGACTACGACTTGAATTGTTTTATCTATTTTTTGTAACTATTGACTAGTGTGTGTTAAAGATGATAATTTAAATATTGTACTTACATAATTTGCAGTGTGTAGCACATGGCAAAAAGGTTACGATGTGACAATTCATTTTCATTTTTATCCTACCCCGTGTCAACTTGTGACCCTCGACCAATATCAGCCCTCGGGCCTCCGGACCCTTGGGTTAATTACATGGAAATGTTCATATGATAACCTTTAAAATGAGTTACTGCAGAAGCGGTTGCTTTTCGTTCCTTACGGTACACGGCAAAAAAACACAAACATGGAATTACTATTGCAGCGCAAGTTTTAAATATGTGATTTTTCACCCCTCTAGGTCGGGGATCGAGAAAAGAAAACACCTGCAGAGGCGACTTAGTGGGAACCCACATGCAGAATTGGGGATTTGCTTTTATGCCCTCTACTTGGGGACACAAGAGCGACCAAAATAAACCTGCTGCAACCATTGGCATATTTGGGATCTTTATATTTCCGTCTACTTGACTTCTTACTACCTTTTATTTCCTAGCGCCTTGCTTGACAACATCTAACTTTTGGCTTTAATGTTGACCGTTTGCCCAGAAGAAGAAGGCAATGTGTTCTGTCCCAAGGCCGGGTAATACCAAAGTCCTTAAATAACAATGGTATAGTTAAATTGTTATTCCCTGTTTAACGTTCAGCATTTAAGGGAATGGCAACAATTGGTTCACCCGGTGTCCGTATAATGTGACCGGGCGGAATGCTGTGCTGGGTGCCTTCGGCATATGGTATTTCAGTGAGGTAACATAGCAATATAATGTTGGCATCAGATCCGCGCATTCACAAGGAGGCAAGTACAGAAACATACACTGTCTCAGGCACGTCCTTAAATGACCTTATAGCTGTTCATAGGACGTTAAACAAAATAAAACCAAACCAATTCTCTTCTGCTTTTGTCACCCGGTTCCCACACTATTACAAAACTTTGTATCTGATTCGATTAATTACCTTCAACTTATCAATGACGTATTTAGGCGAAACTGGAATAGAATATTTAATCCAATGGTCCAAATCACGCCTCTCGAAATGTATCCTCCCCTATGTGAAATGTGATGTTGTCGTCTGATCAATTTCCTCGAAATGGATTGCAGTCTTGTTGAGCATGCGTACTATGCAGTTGCTGATGATCTTTGTTCGAGGAAGGCAAAGAGGGCGGCCATGTTGGAAAGTTTCAAAGGTGCAAATTTTGAATGAAGAAAATACACGGTTTGAGGACACAAAAGAAGAAAACCCAAAGGTTAACGCTTCATCTTTGAATATGCTCAGGTTAGTGGTATGTTTTCGAGATTTTTAATAGCGAAATTTATGGACTATTTTCTATTTTCTATTTGCAATGAAAATGAATATTTCAAGGACAGCTAACTAACACAAGGGAAAATCTCACCTTAGTAATTGTTCAGAATTTGGCGACGATTCCTACGAATACAATACATAATATTCAAACAATCAATACCTGTTCCCAAGAGAAGATAACTCTGCAATACGCAAAGACGGAATAGAGAATATCAAGTCAATCCAAAATGGAAAAAAAATATCGAGAAAAACAATCTAATATAGTCAGTCTACTTTTCGTTTACAACTTCGCGTATTTTCATTTGTTTGCTTTTCTCGAAGTAAACATACAGACTATCTTGCCAATTTTATTTCATATAAAATATAGATGTTTTAAAAACAAGATCGGCCATATTGCTTCTTGTAGTCCATGCGACCCCAAGTACAGGCACAGGTCACAAATCGAAATTCACTGACTTGAACTATGTCATACTAATATGCAGGTGTGTTGTCCTTTTCAAATGATCTTTTAAAATTGAACATCTGTGAGTATTTACATTGACGTGTTAAGGATGTGTTCTATTGTGGACATGACCCCGGAACTTCAAGGGCAGTTGCGGGTATACTCCCTTAATTAGCCGTGTCGATTTCATAGACCCTGTCTCGCTGACAGCTGATATTCAATGAGGGCGACATAACGTTTCAGTTCACATGAATTATTTAAATGAACGAATTTAATTCGAGAAGAACTAATTCAGTAATAAACATTTATATATCTTTTGGGTTGTTTAAAGTATTCTTTTTAGAAACGTCACGATTTTTTAAAGTACAAACTACGAAATGTAATTGTACTCGGAAATATCGGTACGGTATGGCGTATTGTTCAATAATTTGACGGTTTTACTGTTTTGTCCGTGTGTAATTTCATTCACAAAACGCCTATGAATTATGTCGACATTTCTCGTCTGTTTCAGATTTATTGTCACAATTAATGCTAAAATTATGTTACAGAATGTGCCTGATATCCGGTTTGAAGGGATACAAATTAAGACAATTTCTGAGAGATGTTTCCTGTGATTGATGAAAAGATCTATAAAATTATAATACAATGAACATGTGTTGTTATGTGCCTATGAACATCATTAGAGAGTTAACGATGTCCATACATGGCGTGATATGACTAGAAATTCATGGCGAATGTGATGTTTAGTATATATATTTTCAGTTATATTACAATATACTGTTGTTTATTGTTGGATGCAGGACACTGGGACACAGGGACCCGATAATTTGTGACAACAACCATGTTGGACCTAAACTGATTTGTTCAGAGAAATACTAGACGTTTTAGAGTTTTACACTGTTGTCATGGTATATTATACTCTTACCATCAATAGAATATCCGGAATTTACCGTTTTGTGTATTATGGTATTCTGTCTCCGTATCTATTTTCTATGTTTTGTTGTTTTCTTCTTGTTCCCCGCGAATACCCCACTGCAAAGTATTCATGTACTGTTTGCTTCAGTCCCATGTTTTATGCAAATTCCCCTGCTACACGTACATAAACCAACTTATTTGATTCCTTATGCATTAGATAATGGTGATGGTTATCTCGGAGTTTTTTGTCAAATATTTGATCTTTTCAGTCCAATTTTGTCTAACAAGATGTTGCCACTGCGCGACAAAATTTTCGGACTTCTGCAAGTCTTTCAACTCAAAGTTGAGGAAAATTCATCTTTATCTCACCCTTGATTTTTAATGACGAGAAAAATCTTAATCCATGTTCAATCAATTGAAAATTTTAAAGTTAAGGAAAACTCTTGACTCAAATCGAAGTATCACCAAAACTTAGAGTTTGCCTCAAACTGAGTTTGAGGATGAGGCTATGTAAAGTCCACGGGAGATACAATTGAAGGTTTAGTCTCTGTGTTAAGTCTATTGGAGAGTAAGTTTGAGGTTTAGTCTCTGTGTTAAGTCTATTGGAGAGTAAATTTAAGGTTTAGTCAAGTTAAGTATCTATGTTAAGTCTATAGGTGATTAAGTTTGAGGTGAAGTCTCTGTGTTAAGTCTATAGATGATTAAGTTTGAGGTGAAGTCTTTATGGTAAGTCTATAGGTGATTAAGCTTGAGGTGAAGTCTCTGTGTTAAGTCTATTGGAGAGTTAATTTGAGGTTTAGTCTCTGTGTTAAGTCTATAGGTGATTAAGTTTGAGGTGAAGTATCTGTGTTAAGTCTATAGGTGGTTAAGTTTGAGGTGAAGTCTTTATGTTGTGTTTTTGGAGATTAAGTTCGGGCAAAATTCTGTTTTTGAGTCTGTAGGAAATTGCATTTGAGCTTAAGTCTTTATGCTAAGTCTTTAGGAGATTACATTTGAGCTTAAGTCCGAGTCTCTATGCTTAGTCTATGGGAGATTAAATTTGAGCTTTAGACTTTGTGTTAAGTCTACAGCAGATTATGAATGAGGTTAAGTCTTTGTTGCGTCTATGTGAGATTAAGCTTGAGTTTTTGTCTCTATGTTAAGCCGATGTGAGATTAAGTTAGAGCTCAGTTTGAGGTGGACTCGAAGTATTTCTAAATTAATATATTAAGAAGGGTCTGGGCAATCGATTTCACTGTATATGACATTAAACAATATCTCGCCAGTAAAATGTACGTTAAAATCACAGAAAACACATGTATGTTTTTGCAGAGAGAAAAATTAAATCGTCATTACCCGGTAGACCCAAAGTGTTAGAAAATGTACAATAATAGGAACTTCACTTTGGTAAATCGTTATCTACAAAGCCTCCTTCAATGCTAATATCAAAGGGGAAATAACTCCTAGTCAATATTTACACAAGTTGCACACATAACACCATACCCTTAATAAATATATTTAATACAAATACTCTAGTAGTAAGTTTTGTTCACACTGTCGCCATTGCTTCTCTGCGTATATTTTAAAATATGACCTCCCATCACTTTAGTCTTATGAATATCGCCGCCCACCCACATCCCTTCGTTACCCCTCCCCCCCCCCTCATCCTCGATCCCTTTTAGTTATTTATCCCACTCCACTCCTCTATTCACAGGTCGCGAGGTCGTTAAACCCGAACAAACAAAACTATTTACATCAACTCAATAATTGCCAAAGTATCGTTTAACAAGTGAAA